GAGTTTGTAAGTGAGATGACAGTTATTGTTATTTTGTAGATACATGCTATATATATTTTGGTAGTGAGGTGATTATCATTGATATGTTGTAGGGACATGCTATATATATTTGGGTAGTGAGGTGATTAGTATGGTCATACTGAGGATATAAATACATTTTTGTAACAGCTTGAGTATAAGGTAACCATTACCGAGTGTTGTACCTGTCAGGAAGCTATATCCCATATATTCTGCTACCTTAACAGGGTCTATAACAGAGCATTAATGAAAATGAGACAGTTGGAGAGACCATACAGAAAACTGACAACAATCAATAAAGTTAACAGTGGTTGCGAACAACAACCCGAAGAGGTCAATCGAAGTGAGACTTGACTCTATCCGTAACGGACTAGGAACATCATTGTACAGCACATGCTTTTTGTCTATTGTAAGTAGGTCATTGACACCTGCAGAGTATCGATACAGTCAGATGGGGCGTGGGTCTCTAGAACATGTTAATAATAAGAGCCACATATTTCAGGTGATTAAACATCAAACAGGTGTAAAGATCGAGATATGAGGTCTGAGACTCCAGTCATATCATATATAGGCAGCATCAGATACGGTAACAACACAGAAGAGCAATTGCTGACTATTCACCCTGTCAAATTAAAAATAAAAACAAAGGATGAGATTGTAAAAAGTTGCGATAACTTTATTACGACCGGATCACTACCCTCTTCAGTTAGATGACATAAGAGACGCCATTCAACATAGCCGAACGTTAGCAAAGCCATAGACATGACCAGAAATGGACGAAGACATGACGTCAAATATTTCGGAAGGGGACCGTGGACATTGACATGGAGGAGTTAAGGACCATGAGGGTTGTGAGAGAAGGGCTTGCTGTTCACTTTGACCTCATTTTACTTCGAAACATTATATTGAACTTATTGCGTAACAACGAAATCAAACAATTATTATTGCTCATGAAGGATATCAGGAAATGACCAAAATGAAATCCTTAATACTCTTAGAATTATGGTTCCCAGTATTAACAGTAAGGTGGAAAATACAGTGAGGAATTGTACATCTCTAATATTATATCGAATTTGCAAACAGGAAACTTCTGTGATTGTCTCAACTTTTATTAATCATCTACTTATTACGCCAAGATGGCATTGGGCTAATGCCAAGGTTGACAGCTCCAACCAAACTCTTACGATGATGGTACGCGTACGGGCTGTCGTTAATGAACGCACAAATTGGCGGCTAGCTGTGTGGATTCCTATATAAAGCCACATCGCAGAGGACGACCGTTTGGTCGAGAACCAAGCTAACGCTAACCGTAAATTAAGTTCATTTAAAGTCCTTAAAAAGACGACAAAAGGAAGTATTTTATGAAGTCACGATATGATGTTGTCATAGTGACACAAGACGTGAGAGGCAACAGGCTTACATCAGTAGAGTCCGCACCCGACAACCATTACGGTCCGGAGAACAAGTCACCGTTAATGGTATTATAAGACAGTATCGCGTTTCAAGAAAGTTAGCCAATGTTCAGGAAAAGGTACAAAGTGAACAACAGCTTGATGAATAGACGGAGAAGTTCAAGGAGCACATTTTGTTAATGGTAGGCCAGTCCAACTGTAACATCAGACAATACCCGAAATGATGATCCCACTAAGCAGGACTAATAGAGAGAGAGTAAATTAAACACTCTACAAAGATACTAGTTTAAACAATATTTATTCAATAATTACATGTACAACAACAATAATACAAAAATACAATTAGTAGATAAATAGGAATCTGACAGCAAGCTCACAGCTTATGTAAGCCATCACCCTTTGTTTGGTCAGCATCCCTTAATATAACGAGTAATAGAGTAATGTTATTGAACATACAAATATGATAAATTAAGTTAATTAATATAAAGTCAAATGAATGAATAATTATTTTACCTAAATATTGTACTGAATTAGTTATTTTAATGACTACTAGTGTTCGCAGCACTATATTCCCAACTGGTCATCAATGTTCTGAGCTATCTAGTAAAATGTGTAGTTGTAGTCATTGTTAAAAGAACTATTCTCAGTGTGAAGACACTGAGTGATTTTTTTACAAAACGTTATAAACCGGAAACATCAAATGAATTTAGACCTTTTTCCCCCTCATAATTCATCAATGATATTATTTACAGACTGAATAAGCCAGTCAATGGAACACTCGATGCAAACATGTACTAACTACATGTACATAAGTTGTATGAAAAGTGTTACTCAACTCTTTAGTTATGTAGTAACCAGCATGGTCTGAAACTATGAGTTTGCCATCCATGAAAATGATCCTATATATCATATATTGTAATGAATAAACACCACAGTAATGTAAAACGAAAAGTGATCAATCAAGCTATATATTACTCTGATCAGAATGGAGAAGAAAAAAAAGAAAAAACCCATCTTAGATGTACAGACAAATATCTGTTTGTGATACCACTCTGGAATTTAGTCAAATATTATAAAAAACTATTGTTAAGTACAAAAGGATATATATACAACATTATATATACAGCATTTGATATAGCGCCCTATCTAGCTAACACAAGCCACTCTAACGCGCTTTACAGTACATAGATATACAATTAATACAATTAGCATATACATTAATTAATTCAATTTTGAGGAATTCGCAGGCGCTGCCTTATCAGACCCTAACTTCTAATCCTATGCCACCTGGCTAATATCTCCCTATGTATGTATGCCTGCGTGTGTGCTGGAAATGTATTATGTTCTGTTTTGTAATGGGACCGTGCTTCCAACGGCATTTTTTATAGTGCCACCTCACTTGAATGCTACAGCACAGATACCGCAACATCCACCCCAGACCATGTTATACTCCACCTGGGTTGTTTGAGTTGTGTGGCCAGGAGAAAAACACTTTCTCTGATATTCAATGCGTACGACGACTTTGAGGATCGAACGCCGGCCCTCTGCGTGGAAGGCCGAAGCGTTAACCACTCGACCAATCCGCCGAGGATGATGATGTACATGGTTAACTATCCTAAATTCGTTTCTTCCTTAGTTTCATTTTAACGGGCGATATAAACATGCTATATCACGTTTGTGTAAGGAAACAATCTATGTTCTTCCCTATCATGGATATAAACCGGAAACGACCAATGGTAAACACTTGGCCATCATGAATGGTTTGTACTTTAATAGGCGAGTGTATGATAGACGTGGTGTGAAAATAGGCCAAATTGTTTTCCTGCCATTACGATTGACTCGTCGCGATGATCAGTGGACTGGGTTTTCCGTTTAATATTTTTATGATGACAAGATGTTATTTACAAGTATCAAGCTACAAAGCGATGATTTTATCATGTATATGTGTAATTTCCATAATTTCGAAGAAAAACACCTACACACTCAATAAAAATTGTAATATGCAAGTACATTGTATATATTATATTGATATATTAAAAAGTAAACAACCGTGATGAGGAAATGATAAGCGCGGAATGATATAACCTTTCGCACCACAGACACATACAGACACTCATTCTTTCCATACACCATAACACAGTGGAACCTCCTACCCAAAACAATCATCCAATCAGAAACACTAACATAATTCAGGACATGCACCACATATAACATAATCGAACAAATTCAAGACTTGCAACACAACTAACACTCACAGCTTTTAACCAGTTTTTATCCTATAGCAAATTAAAACAAAAACAAACAAAAACACTGTACATACATGTAACATAGAACTACAGCACAAGACCACAATTCCGTAATCGTCAATACTGACGGAGAAAGGGATGAAGAAGAAGATTACAGCATCCAACACGTGTGTACTTCTACTCTTTCTAAAAATTATAAATTATGTCGAAAATCCAAACCGTAACACTAAGTATTTATCAGCGGATAATGTGTTCAAAGTTTGATAAGAATGTTGTTTTGATTTAGCTCAGTACCCATAATGTCTCCTGTCGAAATTCGACCCCTGTCGAGGTGCCACATCTGATCTTGCAAGAAATATTACTCAATCCCAGTAACTTTATAAGACTTTGTTGGAATCTCACTCATTAGCGCTGTCATTTATACTGCCTAAACGGTTATGTATAGGGATTATATTTTTGTAACACCGTAGGGCATACGTGTATACATAGTAGCAAAATGTATTTAATTAGTTTTCATGCAGATTATGAGCCATCGGGATTAGCAGGCATGTACATGTGCTTTTTCAAATGATACAATAGCATAGTAAATGTTTTAAATAAATTGTAAGGACTTGTTAATGAGCTCATTCGTTGTTTGACACGAGCACTTAGTTTCGTCTGCATAAATTCTTTGTGAATATCGTTGAATGCTATGTTTCCTACATTCCGCCATTGTTTGCTGACTATAGCATAGGAAATTATAGGAACGTGGGTTTAGTTTAAACATAATTTATTTGAGAAATTAAAAACAAAAATGGAATGGGATTCAAGATATAAATAATCATCTATTGTTATTAATACAATTCGCAGTAAATATTGTACAGTATTGATATTTATACATAAAGATAACATTGAGTTATTATACATTTCTTAGGAAAATCTTTTGGGACTTGTGAAAACCATGGTTACCACATCAAAAAACGCCAAAAAATGCAAAAAAAACATGATTTTTAACCCAAAATTTGACCCACGCAACTAGTAATGTTTTTTCTTAAAATCTGTCTTAAATTAAATATCACCTACTCGGTCACAGATACTCACGTTTTAGCATGGGTCGTCAACCTAGATTTTTCACAATATTTACACATGTGCTGAGTACAAAAATAGACTACATAAGAAGCTAGCTTTTGTTGTGTAGACACAGATTAGTAAATGGCCAAAAATGTAGTCTCAAGCCAAATTCAAATATGTATTCTTTTTAAATGTGATGCCCACATAGTTCAATTCATCATGTATATGCCAATTTTAGAGCTGTTTTTTTTTTATACTTTTGATACATGTTATATTACAGGGGTTATGCATTGTACAAAAATATTACCCATGGCCACCGTACGCTACTGTACACTGCTACCTATGTATATTGCATTATTGCATTAAATAGATTACCAAATATTGAAGGCATAACAGTAAAATATAGAGAAAATTATTCAATATTAAAAATGAAGTCATATTCCAATGCTTACCGAGATATTAAATTGGTTTATTTTATCTTTGAAAATTGAATTCAAACGACAACTAAAATTAAAACCTATGAACGCTTTCTTTTAGAATCGAAACAATGAAAGAAAGTACATGTAAGCATACCAGGTCTCGTGTAATTTGCGTTTTGTAAAACGCACAAACGTGTACGCAAAGCAAAATCTCTGGAAACTGTAATAGTTTTCTGTTTAAATCCAGTTAATGCGTGATAGCATTATGTGTTAACAAAATTTGATACTTGGTCGTTGAACATCGGATATTCTTATCACGTATAACAGTTTTTATTAACAATTTCACTCGAATTTTGTGTATCAAACCAAGTATCTGTACAGTCTTGTGCCGTAGTCGAGTCGCATTCCTTTGTCTGTAACATTATAACTTATAGTTCCTGCAATCTAATATGCTTATCTCGATCAGTACTATTAACTATAATATTTTCCAAAATTAATTACGTTTAAAAACTTCTTATATCTATCGAATGAAGATATATAGGAATTAAATCACAATAGTATATCCTAAAACATATTAGAGAGCCATGCGATTATTTCCTTCCTCAGTGTCGGGTCGAATAATCCATATATTATTGGGTTAACAATGTTGTTAATAATGTATAAGGTATTAGCAGTTCGAAAACCCAGAGTCTCGGTGGTGGATTTGTCTTTCCAGTCATTTTTGTCTAGAGAACTACGTACTATCGCAATTATTGTTGGCGCATAGCATAATATATACACCAAAGTTACAACGAGAAACATTATCGAAAGTCTATTACCAGTCGTCCTCATCTTTCTTGAAAACTTTCCGTGTGACGCACTTGGCGGGGTCGAGCTTTGTGTCTCTGAAATGGTCGATGTCTTTCCCGTGCAACTTTCACTTAGGCCATCGGGGGATGAAGACTCGCCTATCGGTTTCAATTTCATACTCCTTCTGTACCTGGCACGGCCATATATGGTCTTCCCGATCATGACGTAGAGAGTACATAATACAAAAAGGTTCCCAACGCACATCGTCAAGACCAACAAATTGTACACAAATGGGAATACACTTGACCCCATCACCTTGACGGAAGCGCACACGTATCCAGTCACATTCAAGCTTTTGTTAGTTATCGGTGCTATTCCTGTAATGAACACACTTGGAATTGACAAAAGGAACACAACCAATAACGTGCACAACACACACAGTCTCTTATTTCTCAGGGTCATCCTAGGTTTGAAAGGTCGACAGATTAACTGGAATCGCTGGACGGCAATAATCGTCAGCATCAGTGATGAAGAAGATGCCGCAAACTGGCTCAACATGAAGAAACTTTTACACAAAGCAGCGTTTGTGTAAAGAACGGGATTGAAATTAACAATAAGATTCGCAGAAGAACAAATCACAGAGGCCATGGCGTCTATGCCTGCCAGGTACGGAATGAAGAATCTCTCATCAGATGTCTGCCGAAACCTGAACTTATAGATGTAGATGATCGCTGAATTGCCGAGAATTCCCAACACAATATAAATAAAGAGCATAATGGTGTTTGGAAGGAGATTCATGGCCCTGTGGCTGTTCAACTGGCCAAGTATATCTTCTGGGACAGTCGAATTATCCATATCGATAGGCCTCCTAATCGGCTCGCTCGGGTATGTAACAAGCAATTGTCAACTAACGTATATACATATATCCAGATATCTCACATACTGCGGGGTTTCTCTGTATTTCTTGTAATAAGTTCAAGGAATGTGCGATAAATGAATAATATCGGATGTGTATCAGAAGGTACTTCACGTACCACTTACGCCTGCACTGAACATATTGATATTGTTGCGTAAAGAGATCACTCATCTCACCTCATTTCCCCTTCACTCCTACATTTTATGCAGGATGTCAACAGGTTCTTGACATATTACAGTACACAACTAATTTCCTTGCTTTCTAATCCTATCTCGCTGTAAACATTAAATGTTATATGCAACATAAGCGAAATATGGTCAAATTCAAAGTTGGCTGCATTGAACGTTAAATATATCCAGCCACAAGCGAGAAAAAGGATCGATATAAAACAGAAAATCCACAATATGTATACAAAAACAGTGTGCATGTTGCGTAACATTTCTCTGAATTTTAAACTATGTATATCCATGTTTTTTAAGGATACACAGTTCCTCGTCCTCCCTACCACGAATATAAAACAGGAAATGACCAAATATAGACACTTAAAGCCATCATAGGTTTGTATTTTATAGACGAGTGTGGAATAGACATGGCGTGGTTAAAGTGTTTTACCAAGTGATGTATTCTGGTATCGATAGTATTGTCCTCTAATTCTATTTACAAAAATCCTATAGTCATGTATGTGCTCGATTTTCATTACGCCACACAGTACTTAGAAGAAAAACCATTTCTTGTAACACTCACACACACACACACACACCAGAACACACACATACATATTTTACTGACATAATTTCCCCTTTGCAATACCTACTTCACGGTAAACAGATAACAAAAACAAAACAAATTATTGTTTCGAACGATACTCAAGATAATGCTGATCTGTGAGGGATCAAAAAAATAAAAACCCTGACAATTGTAAACATATTACATGTTGATGGTTCAAATAAAATAACCTTTACTAGATGCTGGAATGTCCGTTTTTGAAACTTGACTACAAAAAAGGAGTGTTAATTTCATAGTCAATATAAAAATAGACTTTCTAGATCCTTGAGAAAAACTGACCATGATATCACCAGAAGAGAAAATTGTTCTTACAAAAAAACCAATTCAAATTGAATGATATGCAGGGTTGCTGTAGCCTTGATGGTCATAGCTATTTATTGTTGAGCAGTGGCATGATTCATAATATGCACATTATGAAAAATATCTAATTTGAAATTAACCAGTACCCTAATCTTTATTTTGAAATTGAGTGGGTTTTATGCAACTTCCCTTCTGTTTCAACAGTAGTTCGAACAAAGGAAATCAAGCTTGTCGGTCCCAAGTTTCAACAACGAGTCGTATCAGGACGAAAAAGCTGTATCCTGTAGTGTCACTCATTTTTGGTTTACTGTATCTATTACAAAATTTATAAACTGCATTTACATGCGCGTGGGTGTGTGTGTGTGTGTATGTGTGTGTGTGACAAAGTTCACACGTCTTAGAATTAAAGAAAATACAAGAGCATCAACTAAACAGTAATTCAAAATCAAAATATATCACATCAGGACAAAATATAGACAAAGGAAAGACTTACAAGGAGACCATTGAAAAAAAGAAAAGATCATGGGTTCATAAGTGAGAAATGGTAATCGTTTTCTGCTTCAATGATAACACATCCCATGTAAGTCAAGGTCAAATCATAAATAATGCCACTTCTTCCAAGCTAAGATAGACAGTCATCAGTCGAAATCTGTCTCAGTAATCATGATATATGGACCAAGGTCTTGAATACCTAATCAATCACTTCATGTTAACACCATAAGTTGGGAAAGCAGAGATTAACTTTCAAGAAAGTGAAAATCGAACAATCACTCTTATCGAACAAGCTGAGCAGTTAGCCGTCCATGCTGATCATAGTGTAAGCAAATTCGAAGCAAGTTATGTTTAAAGCAACTTCTATAAACTCAAGTAGCCAAATGTCTCGATTTAGTTGAAATACGCTGATAAAACGTGAGATGTACCGTTCAGCACCTTTTTATATTCAAACTCTGACAAAGTAATTTAAATTGTAGATGACTATTGTTCACGCCCAGTAACCATATCTCTGTTTCAAGTTCGGTTATAACAGAACAAGGATAATAATCCATAGCTCTGTCCCCGGTACCCAAATAAACCTTATTTAAATTATACCCCTTGAGAGCTAAAATCTCAACATTAGCAAGCAAAATTTGAAAAGCACTTATAAAACCCACAATGTCAACAGTAGAAGACAACGTGATCCGAGGTGACATCAAACCAGAAGGAAACAAATCCTGAATAACTGTCCATAGATGGAATGAGAAGAGGAAACATTGCGCAATTATAGGAAATAGATCTCAACTCAAACGACAATGATAAGCACCGATAACCTAAGACGACATGCACATATATTTTTATCCATAATAGACGCTGCGGAATATCAGTAGGAATTCCAGTAAAGAAACATGAAATTCTTCGTCTTAAATTGGTGCATTTAGGATATAAAATGCTAAATAAGAACTGATCAGCAGAACGTTATTCGATCCTAAAATAATCAAATGAATCCAACTAAGATAATGGATAATGTATGAATGTTAATACACAAATTCAAAGAAAAAAACATGTGATATTAACATTTTTGTGGAGAAAGCAGAAATGATATTGACCATACGTTAGCATAAATAACGAACACATTTAACAAAATAAAGGGTAAATGAAACAACATAAAAATAGTAGGAACTTGTTTGACACCATATACTAGAGTAGATACACATTCCTGGAAAGACATCGCCGAACAGAGGACATAGGTAATGAGATGAACGGCAGCAGATAACGTTTGGTTTCTTCAATGTTCAACCGAAGATGAAAACTCTACGACAACAACAACACAAAAACAATTCTGCAAGGGGCACGTCAATGCCATGTTACGAAAATATGCAGTAGAGGAGAATGACACTAAAATGATAAAAGAGTCAACAGATGGATAATATTATTATTAATTCATGAATTAAAGTTACGATGAATGAATCGGTGCACATATAGCTCCGGTCATTCATACCCGTCATGCCTGTATTTATTTTATATTTGTTTTTTTCTCAAATATGCTTGATCACAATAACATGTCCTAACAATTATTAGACAGCCATGCGATCATTTCCTTCCGTAGTGCCTTGTCGAAGAATCCATATATTATTGGGTTAACGATGTTGTTGATAATATATAAAGAATAAGCACTTCGAAAACCAACGATCACCAGGTTGGATTTCATCAGCCAAACATTTCTGTCCAGAGAATCCCAGACTATCACTATTAATGTTGGCACGAAACATACTATATACACTACAGTGATGACGAGAAACATGATTGACAGTCTGTTACCCGCCATCTTCATCTTTCTGCACGTCTTCCGGTGCGAACTGCTTGGTATGGCCGAGGTTTGTGTCTCTGAAATGGTCGAAGTTTTTCTCGTGCAGCTTTCATTAAGGCCATCGGAGGATGAAAGCTCAAACTTCGCTGTCGTCTTAACACCTTTTCTGTATTTGATACGGCCATAGATGGTCTTCCCAATCATGACGTAGAGGGTACATAATACAAAAAGGTTCCCAATGCAGATTGTCAGAACCACCAAATTGTACACAAAAGGAAATATATTTGATCCCATCACTTCGACGGAAGCGCACACGTATCCAGTCACATTCAATCGTGTGTTAGTTATTGGTGCTATTCCAGTTGTGAACAAACTTGGAATCGACGCAAGAAACGCAACCAATAAGGTGCAAAATACACTCAGTCTCTTATTTCTCAGGGTCATCTTAGGCTTGAAAGGTCGACAGATTCTCCTGAATCGTTGCACAGATATAATTGTTAGCATCAGTGCCGAGGAAGATACTGCGAATTGGCTCAACATGAAGAAACTTTTACACAAAATAGCATTTGTGTAAAGAACTGGGTTAAAATTGATAATAAGATTGGCAGAAGAACATATGACACAGGCCGTGGCGTCTATGCCCGCCAGGTATGGAATGAAGAATCTGTCATCTGACGATTGTCGAAATCTGAACTTATAGATGTAGATGACCGCTGAATTGCCGAGAAGTCCCAACACAATATAAATTAAGAGCATGATTGTATTTGGAAGGAGAACCATGGCCATGCGGCTGTTCCATTGATCAAGTAAATCTTCGGGGACAGTCGAGTTATCCATATCGATAGGCCTCGTAATCGGTTCGCTCGGGTATATAACAAGCAGTTGTCAACTATCGTATATACATATATCCAGATATCTCACACCCTGCGGGGTTTCTCTGTATTTCTTGAAATAGGTTCAAGGAATGGTTGACATACTACAGTACACAAGGAATGTCCTTGCTTTCTAATCCTATTTCGCTGTAAACATGATGTTGCGTCAAATTTATCTGAATTTTAAACATAAACAGTTCCTCGTTCTCCCTACCACGGATATTAAACAGGAAATGACCAAATATGGACACTTAAAGCCATCATCGGTTTGTGCTTTATTTAAGCATTGAACTGTTTATGTATGGTATTCAAAATCTATTTGAATGACACAGCTTTGCAAGCAAAAAATCATAATGCGCGCTTATCATAAATACCATACAAAAACAATTCAATACTTATATTTACGTTTTCTCTGCTTTTTATGGGTTTTTTTAACTTACGATTTATATTTAAAATTCAAAATTTTCGCCTTATTGGCAGTCCACACAAATTCGTTCAATAGTTGGAACAGCGTGTTGTCGCGTGCTGATTATTGGCAAACAAAGTAGTACTTTGAAATTTTAACAAACACTTCAATTTCATTCCACAATTCAGTATCTTGGGTGATTTAAGTTTATCAATTGAACTCTGAGCTGAAAGTTAGATTTGAAATTGTTTCGATTTCTCCCCGGAACAAATTTCGCGCATGGATAAATACAGTGAACACCGTAAATCCGACCTTGCCCTCCACGAGGGAGTTATTTTTGGAAGTTAAATGAGCAAAGAGAAAAGTTCGAATTTGTGAAGAATCCAGACGTGAATTTATTTGTTGATTGTATTGGAATCTGACTACAGTCGGTAGATTCTATAACAAACTCGTTATTTGACATGTTGTCAGAAACTCAGGAAACCGTGGCTGCGAGACGCGTGTAACTGATAGCGTTTGAAGTGAGTGATCTGGCGATGGAGCACAGGGGTTCGTTACAAATGTCTGAAATGTTATCTGTAACATATGTGTCAGTAGGTCTATAGAATATGTCTATTTCAGACATTTGTAACGAACCCCTGTTGATTAGTGCAGTGTAACAGACGATATTTCTGATAAATTGAATGAGTGTTAAAATTCTTTCCATTGACGGCATTGGTGATTTCAACCGATTTGCATTTTGTACGATATTGCAGACCTTGGTCTTGTTTTTGTTGTAATAAAAGTATTTTTTTTGTATTTTCTTTTTTCTCTTGCACATCAATTTACAATTACATTGTCAAGTCTCACAATGCCAAGCGATATTTCGGCAGCCGTCATGTTTATTGTAATTCCGGTCAGTGTTGTATTAATACGCTAAGAATTGTGTCTCGTGCTGCATGGTAATTAAAATCCCATCAGCGACACAGCTTTCAAAGAGGCTATATAGTGACAATGCCATGCAAATGTAAATATAGACAAGTGTGGAATAGACATGGCGAGGTCAAAGTGTATACAGCCAGCAAGGTCAACATATTGATTCGTCGTTAGTGTTCACTGAACTGGATTCCTATGAAATGGTTTAACACATCAAACACACACATACATATCTTACTGAGATAATTTCCCCTTTGCAACATCTACTACACGTTAAGTAGACAAACAAAAACAAAACCATTGTTTCGAACGATACTCAAGATAATGCTGATTTGTGCT